CTGAATAAATATCTGTATAATAAATGAATGACATTGCAAATACCTAAATTTTTGTCTCTATTCCTGACCTCTTCTGAACTTCAAACTTTCGTTTCTAACTGCTTGCTACTATCTCCACATAGCTAGCCAATAGCAACTCAACCTAGCAATGTACTAAATCCATATTATCTTCACCACCAAACCTGTTCTTCTTCTTGGAACATTCTTTTCAATTATTGCCCAACCTTCCTCCCACTCAGCTGCAAATTCTAGATCTTTAACAATCCCTTTCATCTTCCCTATTGAAATAATCCCTGTATTCCCCCAAATGTTTTTATATTGTAATGCCCTGTTTAGGTTCTTCATTATCTTTCTACTACAGTATTAAAATAGGCTTCTATCTGGCCACCCAGTCCTTAAAATTCCCCTTTCCTATCCATCTTTTATGCAGTCACTCGGGTTACCTTTCCAAAACATATTAGTGTTTGTATTATTCCTCTTACTCAAAGTCCAGTGCCTCAGTAGTCAAACATCTAAGCATGGCATTTTAAAGATTCTACATGTCTACACCAGCATCCACTCTATTCCTTAATAAACTATTTACTCCAGGCCACACTAAATTCACTATTAAATGAACACACTAACCTTTGTCAGTGTTCAAGGTCTTTGCTTGGGCTACCCTGTTTCCCCGAAAATAAGACAGTGTCTTATATTAATTTTTGCTCCCAAAGATGCGCTAGGTCTTATTTTCAGGGGATGTCTTATTTTTCCATGAAGAAGAATATGGTACACAGTTATTATTAAATGAAAATAAAGGAAATTTATTACCTGTATACGGTACAGTAGTACGGTAGTTGTCAACACAAACCAGACAAACTGTGAATCCTACAATATCAAGAATTTACTCATTTATTCAATGACAATCATGTCATCATCTTCTGGAACGTCATCATAACAATCCAATTCCTGAATTTCCTGGTGAATTTCTTGTGACTCCATTTCTTTCAGAATCAGAGGACCAAATCTCTCATGGTTAGCCTGGGGGGGAGGGGAGGGCTTATTTTCAGGGGGATGCCTTATATTTCACTCAGAAGGAAACCTGTAAGTAGGTCTTATTTTCGGAAGATGTCTTATTTTGGGGGAAACACGGTAGTTCTTCAATTTGAAATAAACACCCCCAATCTAGATCTGATCTTGTGAAATCCTTCCCCGCCTTTAAAATTCAATTCAAATGCCATCTCATCCACTAAGATTCTCTGATCCTTTCCCTCCGGTCAGAACAAATCTGTCTTTACCTCGGTGTTTTCACAAAACAGTTTAACCCCTCTTTTAGCAATTATTTCATTTTTCTTTGGGTGTTAGTTGTCTACACGGAAATTTTTCTCATTGGTTAGGTTTGAGTTTATTCACCCTTCTTCGATTAACCTAGGACGATGCTGTGTACAAAGTAAACATTCAGGAAATATTTGCTGAATAAATAGGTAAGCTCTTTATAATTTACAGAGAAAAAAAGAAAAAGCCAAAAGCTAGAGATTATATAACTTGCCAAAAATTAGGCATCTACTTCGATGTAGAACTTTAAAAACTAGAACCTAAATCTTCTGCTAGTTTAGCTGACTGTCCACACGAAGATAACACAAAGTGAAATTTCTTCCTTAACAAAATGTCCCTTACTTTATTTCAAACCGTTTTTTTAGTCTCTTTGAAAATATGCGGCATTGACCTTTTGCCAAAGTGAGGACGAAGTGCAAATTCTTAGGTCCCACGTTAATTGTATGTAACCTCCAAACAGTGCCTACATGCGTTTCAGAGTCTCATGAGCAAGTGACACAAACTTTAATAAACTAATTTTATCTGTTATTTGAAGTAACTACGGAGGATAGCTTCAACCTGCGAAATGCATACCAGGCCGTACACACCGCCCACACCCCTGCCCGGCCTTGAAAGGACGGGCGAAGCAGAGAGCCGCAGTCCAGCCCCTCTAGGTCGGCAGCCTTCCTCCTCTCAGACCCGGAAAGTAAGGGGGTACATGAAAGAAGAGGCGGCTCGGGGATGAAATATCCAGGGCAGAGTCCCTCTGACATCACATTTCCCCAGAGCCAGGCCTCCATGTCGGGCCCAAGGTCCGCGGGCAGGCCCCGGCTGCCCCCGCCCACGGGCTCGCTGACTCCGGCTTTCTCAGGACCGTCTTGTTCCCACGCTCCGGCCCCCAAAACCAAGCAAAGGAGCCGAAGCATCGGCCTCAAAACCCCGCGAACGGGAGGGTCCACGCCGTGGGGCTTCAGACCGGCCGCTCCCCGGCCCGCCAGGTCCCGCAGGGGCGCCCAAGGGGGGCGGTTTCCCTGTCCTCCCGGAGGGCGCCCCGGGCCTGAGCCCCCCGAGGAGTTGGTATTGGTTCCCTCTTTTTTTTTTTTTTTCGGGGACCACCTAGCCCAGCAAGTGTGGTCCGGCCCGCCCTGGAGCTCACCTTACGTCCCCGGCAGCCGCCCGTGGGTCAATCGGTCCCGAATTCCGTCCACACACAGCGTCTTCCGGCTCCTGCCGGAAGCAGCTCGAGCGCGGGACAGGAAGTTTGGCTGCCCCCACGCACACACCCACTTTCTTGCCCCCAGGCTGAGTCGGGGGCGGCGGGTGCAAGGTTCCCGCCGGGCGACCTGGTTTGCGGCGCAGGGCTCTGCGCTCGGACCTAAGGCGCCGCGGTCTCTCACCTCCCACTCGTTCTCTATCGGCCTTCGGGGCTCCGAGGTCTGCAAAGCCCGAAAAAAAACGGGGTCGGTTCATGCCAGCCGTGACGTCACTGCTTCCCTGCAGCGGCGGCGGATGGGGTCGTTGTACCCGTCAGCTGAGATCTGCACTGGCTACGATGGAGGCGAGCGAGAACGATCACTACTGAGACTTTTATCAGAGTTCTCAAGGAAGGGGATCGCGAAGCTTCACTTCCCCGGGAAGGGAACTTGCAGAACTAGTTCTGCACTTTATACCGAGCAGGGTAAGAATTGATACTCGAGTGTAGATAGAACTTTTGGAATATGAATTCCCTAGCGTCTGGGTTCCACATATTTGGAAAGAGCTCTCAGGTGTTCTGACTGGGGGCTAGACCACTTGCGTTCCAGGCTGGATACCACCACTTGTGAGAGCTCTGTGAGTTTGACTAATTTTTTGATAGTGCTGCTTGCCGAACCATGGAGAACTCAACGTGGGAATTAAAGGAGTTCTCTAAGAAAAGCACTTAAAATTATAGATAAACCTTGAAGACAGGCATATAAATGAATGAGCGAGTAGTTTGAATATACAAATAAACTATGGTGATTTGCAAAACTAAGGAGAAACACAGTTCAGGGGAAGATAAGTAGATAAAGTGCATTTATCCCAAGGGGATATTTACTTGGAGGTAAAGGTCACAAGCTCAAGTAAAAAAGAGGTAAAAAATAGAGATGTAATTTGGAAGTTATTATCATACAGAGATTGGACCAGGAAAATTATATAAAACAAGAAAGAAGGCCACTAAAGACAACCGGAATGACTGATTATAAATACAATTTGAATCTACTTTCTATAAACGTTGCCAACAAAAGTATTTTGCAGGAGGGGGGTAGAGGGTGTCAATGGACCCGGGGAAAGAGGGATATCTAATACTTTTAACAATAAGATAAAGTGTTTTTTTAAAATTATATGCAGTGTATAAATAGGTGACCATAAACCAGCAGGACACTCAGAGAAAACTATCCTCAATTTTACTGTGTTTTTTTTTTTCTTTTTTATTGAATTTATTGGGGTGGCACTGGTTAACAAAATTTACAAGTTTCAGATGCATAGTTCCACAACGCATCATCTGTAACACTGTACTGCGTATTCACCACTCCAAGTGAAGTCTCCTTCCATCACCATTTATCCCCTCTTTATTCTCCTCCACCTCCCCCACCCCAGCAAACTCCCATTTAGAGTTACATTTGTAGGTCTTGAACATTCATGTTTACAATCATTTGTTAATTTGCCCATTCCGTGCTAACATTTTCTGAAGCTTTGTTTTAATCCTTTAAAAAAATAAATTTATATTGATTTTTAGAGAGAGAGGAAGGAGAGGAAGAGACAGAAACATCAATGGTGAGAGAGAATCATCGATTGGCTGCTTCCTACACACCCCCTATTGAGAATGGTGCCTGCAAACCAAGCATGTGCCCTAACCAGGAATCAATCCAGTGACCTCTTGGGTCTGGGGTCCATGCTCAACCACTGAGCCACACCAGCAAGGCTGCCTCAATCTTTTTCATCACCTAAAACTCTAAGTGATGTTTACCTATTTGCCCTGGAAATCTTGACAACTATTTACAGTATGTGCTTGCTAACCTAAAATAAACATATGCTTTTATCAATAAATATTTGAGTTATTAGACTATACAGTAAATTATTTGGCATAACACAAATAGATCTTCTGTAGCAAATATAGTCTCTCCATCAACCGAATGAACCTCTATCTTCTCATACTAGTCCCAACACAGAGCTCTGAATTCCCCCAAACTCCAGACAAACACCCTGCCATTAAGCCCTTTTCCATGTACAATATAAAAAGGCCATCCCAATTTTCTTCTTATGCCAAGTTTCAGTTCAAGAATTCTGTAAAACATTTCCAGTTCTACAAATATTTACTAAATGCCTTCTCAACCATTTCATTTTCAATAAAAGTTATTAATTTTGAAAAGCTATTTTGTATGATCCATTAATAGTTGTATCAAATCTCCAGTGGTTTCAGTATGTCTGATAAAAATATCATATGTAATAATTTTAGGAAAAGAAAGAAAAATAGATCATTTTGACTTCAATCTACTGCTGTAAGTAATATGTTGGATGTAGAATACATATATAATATGGAAGACATAGAAAGAATTATTTTGCAACTAAGAAAATAATCACCTATTATTACATTTAAACCAAAAGCTATCTGCCCTCTAAGGTTATTTTTTAATGTGTCTTGAGTTTTTGTACAAAATGGAAAGAAATCTGTATTTCTTTGATGAAGATGTTTATAGAGACTGCAAAGAGGTTTCTTCTGAAATGCACACTATCTGCTTTCCAATATTACCTCCTGTCATCATGGACACGAATGCAGCTAGAAAGAAAAAACAAAACTCAGTTGTTTCAAAACATAAATGTCACTATCATACATATCTATTGGTAGCTCAAACACCAGTAACTTAAAAAATTATTTCAATGATTTTAATATTAAGTATAGAAGAAAACTGTCATGAAAAGAAACTTCACATATACACTGGCAAAGTTACAGAGTAAACTAACTCAATTAGCATCTTAAAAACTGTTTTTACCCATCAGGCTGGCGTGGCTCAGTGGCTGAGTGTAGATCTATAAATCAGGAGTTCACAGTTCAGTTCCTGGTCAGGGTATATGCCTGGGTTTCGGGCTTGATCCCCAATATAGGGCATGCAGGAGGCAGCCAGTCAATGGACACTCTCTCATAATTGATGTTTCTATCTCTCCCTCTCTCTCCCTTTCTCTCTGAAATCAATGAAAATATATTTTAAAAATTTTTTTACTGAAACTAGAAATGTTTAAATGGTGTCTATATCGACATGCATGGCTTACAGTCTGAAAACTAGAGACAAATAAGTTTGAAGATACAATACCAGCAAAACAAATCCATTCCACTTTAAACAATAAAATAAAATTTAAAAAACAAAACAAAAAAACAAATCCATTTCTATATAATAAAAGGCTAATTTATGCAAATCAACCAAACGGCAGAATGACTGGTTGCTATGATGTGCACTGACCACCAAGGGGCAGACGCTCTATGTGGTCAGTGCGCTCCCACAGGGGAGCACCACTCAGCCAGAAGCCGGGCTTATGCTGGTGAGCGCAGCGGTGGTAGCAGGAGCCTCTCCCACCTCCGCAGCCTCCGCAGCCACTCTACGGAATATCCGACTGACAACAGGAAGCCAGCGTAAGCCATCAGTCAGACATCCCCTGAGGGCTCCTGGACTGCAAAAGGGTGCAGGCTGGGCTGAGGGACCAACCCCCCAAACAAGTGCATGAATTTTATGCACCGGGGCTCTAATTTTTATATACCAGTTAAAATATCAGAAATCTAATTATAAAGTTTTACTAAGTGAAATACACATTATGCCAGAAAAATAAGTGAAATTATATTTCTGTTTGGTAAACTTAATAACCAAAAACATTACATTTTTTTCTGAGAAAGAAAAAAAATAATTGAATCCCTTTTATTTTTAAAAAATATATTTTTATTAATTTCCCTACTGGGATTTGCGCCCACATGCTGTGATCTCCCTGTTCATAGGTCAACACTCAACCACTGAGCCACACCAGCTGAGCTAATCCTTTTTATTTATTATTTATTATTATTTTTAAATATATTTTATTGATTTTTTTACAAAGAGGAAGAAAGAGGGATAGAGAGTTAGAAACATCGATGAGACAGAATCATCGATCAGCTGCCTCTTGCACATCCCCTACTGAAGATGTTCGCGCAACCAAGGGGTTGGTGACAGGATGTAAGCTGACGGTCTTTGCATCTGAGGGGGCTAGCAGGGCTGGCCCCTACCCAAACAGTTTTCCCTGGCTTGTTTGGATGGCCATTATCAGTAAAATGGAAGTAATTTATGTAGTAGGAGAGCAACATTTTATGTCTTGCCAGGAAGTCTGTATTTACCTACTGAAGATTTATTGCACTAAGAATTGGTCCTTCTGCTCTCTCTCTCCTTTAGAGATTAAGAGGAACAAGAAATATACTCCTCTTGACAGACCTCCTAATTAGTGCCTTGTGTATAAAAAGCATTGTGCAGTGAATAAACTTGCTACAGTTCCTCGATGACTTGTAGTCCTCCCGAGCCTGCTCTTCTGTCTTTCTTTTCTCAATTCCCACCTCTCTACCTCAGCCCGGCTCAACCTGCCAGGCAGGCCCCGGCACCAAGGTACATGCCCTTGACCGGAATCGAACCTGGGACCTTTCAGTCCACAGGCCGACGCTCTGTCCACTGAGCCAACAAGTTTGGCATCCTTTTTATTTAAAACAAACAAAAGAGCCAGCAGCAGGTTGAGCAGTGACCTATGAAGGAGGAGGTCATAGTTCGATTCTGGTCAGGGCATATGCCTGGTTGTGGGCTCAATCCCCAGTGCAGGAGGTAGCTGATCAATGATTCTCTCATCATTGATGTTTTCATCTCTTTCCCTCTCCCTTCCTCTCTCAAATCAATAAAAATATATTTTAAAAGAAAAAGACCTCAGAGAAGTAGAAGCAAAAGAAAAAAGGTATTATTTGTGCTGAGCACATGTCCTATATAATAAAGAGGCAATATGCAAATTGACCCACACGCCCTCACACAAGATGGCCGCCCTCATGTGGTCAAAGATGGCTGTCAGGTGAGGGTAGTTGTGGGCGATAAGGCCAGCAGGGTAGGGCAGATAGGGTGACCAGGCCGGCAGGGGAGGGCAGTTGGGAACAACTGAGCTGGCAAGGGAGGGAAGTTGGGGGCAATCAGGCTGGCAGGGGAGCAGTTAGGGGGTGATCAGGCTAGCAGGCAGGTGAGCGGTTAGGAGCCAGCAGTCCCGGATTTTAAGAAGGATGTCCACAGGGGTTGGGCCTAAACTGGCAGATGGACATCCCTCGAGGGGTCCCAGACTGGAGAGGGTGCAGGCTGGGCTGAGGGACCACACTCCCAAGTGTATGAAATTCATGTATCGGGTCTCTGGTATATAATAAATCTACATTCATCTTACCTCCCATGTTTTCTAATCCATTTGTCATAGTTTCTTTAATCTGTAAATAAAAATAGCTAAACTTAGTATTCTTTAGACTTCAATGTTTCTACTTAATAGTTTTCATGTTTGCAAAAGACAGCAACACTATTTAGCACTTTCTACCTAAAAATAGATATTCTTAATTTCATGTAGGTAACCAAAAAGGTTTCCTATCAATTAATTTTAAAAAATAAAATCCTATTTTCCCACTGTCTAACCTTCCACTGGTAACAGCACAAGCTATATACCCTCTTTTTCAAAAGTACATAAGCACACACACATAAATTTTACTTATCGTTTGCAGGTTTTAAGAACATGCAAGGTTAGGTCAGGGTCTTTGAGCCCCAGATTAATAACTTCTGATTTTAAAGCAAAAATAAGACATATCAGAATGTCCTGGGAGGGCGGGAGAGAAATATGGTAGTGGAGAGGTAGGGGTACTAAGAGGTGCTTATAAGATTTTTGAGAAAGCACAGCTTCTGACACATTGTAGCATTCCATATTAATATTTATTAAATTAATATTAAAATTTAGGAAGGAAAAGCTATTGATCTTACAATATAATCTAAGAAAAGTATAAGGTTAATAAAATCAGGTAAAGGGTATAATAAGAGAGGGCTTCTCAACCAGGAGGTTATATCACCTGGGAGGTAAAGTTAATTTATAATATCCAGTATACTTCCCTTTTGTTGGAATTTTTATTATGAAACTAGTACATTGCTAGAATAAATTCAAAAGCATGTCAAATAGCAGGAAGAATGCTATTGATAAGAAATAGAAGCAAGTTCTACCTTTAGCTTTCCTTCTTTAAACCATTGACTTAGCTGTAGAATACCAGACTCAAATTTGTCCTTATAATTTAACACCATAAATCTTTCTCTGTATTGGGAAAGAAAAGAATAATGATCAGAGACCAGTAGGGGAATAAAAGAGTCCAAAACGAAATCATTCCAGAATGCTATCACCTGGGAATCTTTCAAACATAAGAACTTAATCACAGTATCTGGTCAGATACAGGTTAGGTGTAGAGACAGGGATAAGTGCAGCGGCATTCTATTGTTTTGTCTGCCCAGCATTTCGACCCCGTTTGGTGATGGCTCTATGATTTTACTTAATGGGTAACCCTATGTGACCAGAGCCAGGCCAGTGTGAGCCATAGAGTATCAGCTTTGGGACCTGATAAAACTGCGAGGAGAAAGCTGTTCTCTTTCTGCTTGGATTGCTAACCTGGAAAAATGTAAGACTAGAGTAGAGCATCAGCCTGTGGACTGAAGAGTCCCAGGTTCAATTCTTGTCAACGGCATGTACCTTGGTTGCAGGCACGCCCCCAGTGGGGGGTACGCAGGAGGCAGCTGATCAATGTTTCTCTCTCATCGAGGTTTCTAGCTCTCTATCCCTCTTCCTTTCTCTCTATAAAAAATCAGTAAAATATATTTTAATTTAAAAAAAAAGTAAGACTAGCTGAAACCAATTTGGCTCAATGGGATTGAAAGGTCCTGGGTTCGATTCCAGTCAAGGGCCTGTACCTTGGTTGCGGGCATATCCCCAGTAGGGGGTATGCAAGAGGCAGCTGATCGATGATTCTCTCTCATCGATGTTTCTAACTCTCTATCTCTCTCCCTTCCTCTCTGTACAAAATCAATAAAATATATTAAAAAAAAAAAAGTAAGACTAAAGATAAGAGCCATCCTCTGCTGCTGCAAGAGAAGAGCCTAGGTGGGAGCACAGCCCAGAGGTGGAGAAAAACTGAGTCATGATGCCATTATACAAACCCTTTGTCCAGCCAGATCTCAGTCATTACTGTACTAATATTGCACTTCTCAGTACATGAGCCAATAAATTTCCTTTGTACTTAAGCCAATGTGGTTGAGTTTCTATTACTTGCACACAAAAAAAGACTTGTAAAAGATTTATAGAACAGATGCAATCTTTTTAAAGTTTTCTGCCAAAGGGCTAGTTAACTAAAACCCAAATACTGAATCAGCTTAAAACATATATTTGCAAGTTTTATTTAATAAGAAAAAATTACATATAGAGAACAATACACTTCATATACACCTATGATCTTTAAACCGCTTGAATTTGATAAAAACAGGAAGAGGTAGAACACACCTTGCAATGTTTCTTTCTTTCTGGATTGCCTCTACAGCAGGAGGTAGTGGAGGAGGATAAGGCACATCTTTGTTGTACTGAGAAATTTGACCACACAGGATGATGTGACTGTTCTTATTCATCTGTTCAGATAAAATAGGTGATTATACCCTAAGACAGTGGTCGGCAAACTCATTAATCAACAAAGCCAAATATCAACAGTACAATGATTGAAATTTCTTTTGAGAGCTAAATTTTTTAAATTTAAACTTCTTCTAACACCACTTCTTCAAAATAGACTCGCCCAGGCCGTGGTATTTTGTGGAAGAGCCACACTCAAGGGGCCAAAGAGCTGCATGTGGCTCGCGAGCCTCGGTTTGCTGAGCCCGAAGATATATGCCTTTCCCATATTAGACTTTATGGCTGTCTCAAAGAAAGCCTCTTTGACCATTGAATTTAATCCTTTAGTGCCAATTAATATATTTCATTTTAAAGATTTACCCAGTATATATATTTAAGAGTCTTAACTGGCTAGAAAATAAGTCCACTCTAAAGGAATTAAGAGGTAAATGAGAATTTGGTAATCAGCAAAAGAATTACATTAATTGTTGCTGTTGTTGTTGCTACTTTTATTTTTTTTATTTTTTTTTTTTTTAAATATATTTTATTTGATTTTGTACAGAGAGGAAGAGAGAGAGATAGAGAGTTAGAAACATCGATGAGAGAGAGTCATCGACCAGCTGCCTCTTGCACACCCCCTACTGGGGATATGCCCGCAACCAAGGTACATGCCCTTGACCGGAATCGAACCCGGGCCCTCCAGTCCCCAAGCCGACGCTCTATCCATTGAGCCAAACCGGTCTCGGCTGTTGTTGCTACTTTTAGTAGTAGTGGTAGTAGCAAAGTATTTCTTTGTATTTAAATAATTTAACCTCAATTGCAAATAATTTTACCTATAGTAAAGGACAATGCAGTGTTAATAGCTGATGTTCATATTTTATAACGTTGTCAATGAAAATAGGTAAAAATACCTACAATCTATGAAAATCCATTCCCTACCCAAAGTCAGGGGCCATGGCTGAGTTGGTTCGTGGTGAGTTAGGAGAACTTCACCATTTGAACAATACAACTGTACTTTCACAAAAAATTAACTGCAGGTGAAAATATAATAATGCTAGCAAAGAACTGAAACTGATGTTCATAGTGCAAATCTGTAAGTAAATGGAAGTAGAAATATCAGTAAGCTCTTCTGGGTCACTTAATTACAGTACTGATCATCATTAGTTTCTTTTTCTCAATAAACCCTACAATCTTATAAATTTTTTTCTATCTCTTAATATCAGGTACAAATATCACATCAAATAAAATATAGCATTCAAATTTATAAGAAACAAATCAGCAAAATACCTGACTTATCACTGTATTACTTATGTCACCGCCAACATTGTCAAAGTAAACATCCACACCAGATGGGCATAGTTTCCGGAGCTGTTCTGCTACGTTATCTTTTTTATAATTAATAGCAGCATCAAAGCCCAGTTCTGAGGTCAAAAGGAGGCACTTCTCTTGTGTTCCACAAATTCCCACCACTCGGGAACAGCCCATCAAGTGACCAATCTAGGGGGGAAATTTTTGAAAATTACACAACTTTCTAGGTCACATTTACATTTTAGAATGTGAAAGCATATAAGATATTACAAGTATATGAGAGTGTTCACCACAATTTAGGTTAGATTTCAAGGCCTTCAGCTAAAAGTAATTTGAAATCAAAAGAACAGAAAACAGATATAATGTCATTCTTAAAAACATTAAGATTGAATAAAATTTGACTTATCGGGTCTAGTAATAATTAATGTCGTTTTTGAACATTCATTTAAAATCTTGCTTGGCGTTGACTTGTATTGACATAACCTTCAAACACGTGGTATCTACAGAACGCGTGAAGTGCAATTAACAAGTTTTGCTTGAAAAAGTTTGTGTTTGGTTTGGTTTTTGTTGCAAAACTAGGGCTAAGAAGATAGCGGATGAAGAGCATATTCGGCACTGCATGCTTTACGAGTTCCAATTAGGAAGAAAAGCAAGTGAGGCTGCAAAAAACATCTGTAGTGCTCTTGGTCAAGATGCAGTTAGCGCCAGAAAATGCCAGCGTTGGTTTGAGAAATTTCGCGAGGGAAATTTTTCGTTAGATGACAAGAGTGGTCGAGGCCGTGTATCCAATTTTGAACAAGAAGCTCTTCAAGCTCTTTTGGTGCAAAATCCTCAAATTACCCAACAAGAGCTTGCGACAACTTTAAATTGTTCACAAAAAACAATTTCCAATCAATTGCGTGCACTTGGCAAAGTCCAAAAGTTTGGAAAATGGGTTCCTCATGAGTTGACCGACAACAACCGTAATCAAAGAGTCACAATTTGCAGTTCGCTCCTCTCTCGTCAAAACCGTTTGCCGTTTTTAGAGCAAATTGTTACCGGAGTTGAAAAATGGGTGCTGTATGTTAATTTGAAAAGGTGACCTCAATGGTTGGACAAAAATGAGGCTCCGCAGCCCACGCCAAAACCTGACTTGCATGCGAAAAAAGTGATGTTGTGTGTTTGGTGGAATTTTAAAGGAATTCTTCATTATGAACTTTTACCATCTAACCAAACCATTCCAAGTGCAGTGTATAGTGCCCAATTGGAAAGGTTAGCCCAAGCTTTAAGAGAAAAAGAACCCGCGCTGATTAATCGGAAGGGCGTAATTCTTCACCACGATAACGCACGACCGCATACTGCAAGAATCACTGCTGAAAAACTGCGCCAGTTGGAATGGGAAGTTCTCCCTCAACCTGCATATTCTCCTGATATTGCCCCTTCCGATTACCATTTGTTTCGTTCTTTGGAAAACTTTCTTCTTGGGGAAAAATTTAATAATGAAGAATGCCTCAAAAATGCATTGACCGAATTTTTTGCATCAAAATCACAAGAATTTTACAACAGAGGGATTAAAATGCTTCCTGAGCGTTGGGCACAAGTAGTAGAAAACAACGGCAACTATATTGTTGATTAAATTTTGTTGTATTGTTTAAATAAATTCGATTTATTTTTTTTTTTTTTTTTTTTATTTTTTTTTTTATTTTTTTTTTATTATTATTATTTTTTTTATCAGTCTTTATTGTTCATATTATTACAAAGGTTCCTCATTTCTTCCCCCCTCCACCAGGTTCCCACCCCACCCTCCGTCCCCCCCCCACCCCCCATTGTCCTCATCCATAGGTGCAGTTTATGTTCAGTCTCTTCTTCCCTCAATTTCCCCAATAGTAAATCCCTTTTCAGATAGTAAATCAGTTACTTAGCATTTTCTCATATCAATAATACCTCCACATGCCCAATGATACACTTCACACAAAAGACATTTCCCACTAAGTCAACCAGCCTCATCCAGGCCCCACCCAAGGCACTCACAGATCAACACCCCAGTCCTAAACTAACTCAACACATCCAGATCTAAGCCTTCATCACTTGATTCAGCAGACCCTCAAGTTCCCACGAAAGATTCCAGCCATGTCTGAGAAGCAGCCGTGGGGCAGGGGTAGGCAAGGAGCGAGCTGTTCTGGGCCTGGCTGCTCAGGGCCTGGCCTCTGTTGCTCTGGTTCATTCCACAACCAGCTGCTCCGGGTCTGGTCACTGCCGCTCCCGACCTAGTTGCTCTGCACTTGGCTGCTGCTGCTCCGGGCCTGGCCGCTCCCAGCCTGGCAGCCGCTGCTCCGGGCCTGGCCGCACCCGACCCGCCTGCTCCCCCGGGCCCGGCCGCTCCCAGCCTGGCAGCCGCTGCTCCGGGCCTGGCCGCACCCGACCCGCCTCTCCCCCGGGCCCGGCCGCTCCCAGCCTGGCAGCCGCTGCTCCGGGCCTGGCCGCACCAGCCCCGCCTGCTCCCCCGGGCCCGGCCGCTCCCAGCCTGGCAGCCGCTGCTCCGGGCCTGGCCGCACCCGACCCGCCTGCTCCCCCGGGCCCGGCCGCTCCCAGCCTGGCAGCCGCTGCTCCGGGCCTGGCCGCACCCGACCCGCCTGCTCCCCCGGGCCCGGCCGCTCCCAGCCTGGCAGCCGCTGCTCCGGGCCTGGCCGCACCAGCCCCGCCTGCTCCCCCGGGCCTGGCCGCTCCCAGCCTGGCAGCCGCTGCTCCGGGCCTGGCCGCACCCGACCCGCCTCCTCCCCCGGGCCTGGCCGCTCCCAGCCTGGCAGCCGCTGCTCCGGGCCTGGCCGCACCCGACCCGCCTCTCCCCCGGGCCTGGCCGCTCCCAGCCTGGCAGCCGCTGCTCCGGGCCTGGCCGCACCCGACCCGCCTGCTCCCCCGGGCCTGGCCGCTCCCAGCCTGGCAGCCGCTGCTCCGGGCCTGGCCGCACCAGCCCCGCCTGCTCCCCCGGGCCTGGCCGCTCCCAGCCTGGCAGCCGCTGCTCCGGGCCTGGCCGCACCCGACCCGCCTGCTCCCCCGGGCCTGGCCGCTCCCAGCCTGGCAGCCGCTGCTCCGGGCCTGGCCGCACCCGACCCGCCTGCTCCCCCGGGCCTGGCCGCTCCCAGCCTGGCAGCCGCTGCTCCGGGCCTGGCCGCACCCGACCCGGCTGCTCCCCCGGGCCTGGCCGCTCCCAGCCTGGCAGCCGCTGCTCCGGGCCTGGCCGCACCAGCCCCGCCTGCTCCCCCGGGCCTGGCCGCTCCCAGCCTGGCAGCCGCTGCTCTGGGCCTGGCCGCACCCGACCCGCCTGCTCCCCCGGGCCTGGCCACTCCGAGCCTGGCAGCTGCTGCTCCGGGCCTGGCCGCACCTGACCCGGCTGCTCTGGGCCCGGCTGCCCCGGGCCTGGCCGCTCCGAGCCTGGCCACTCCCGACCTGGATGCTCTGGGCTTGGCTATTGCTGTTCTGGGTCTGGCTGCTCCCACCCTGGCTGCTCTGGGCCCGGCTTCTCCGGGCCCGGCCACTCCAGGTCTGGGTGTTCCTGGACTGGCCACCCTGGGCTTGGCCGCCTCCGCCTCATGCCTGGCTGCCACTGCCCCAGGTCTGGCTACTCCAGTGCTGGCTGTTGATGCTCTGGTTCTGGCTGCTGTTGTTCTGGGGCCTGGCCGTTGCTGCTCCAGGTCTGGCTGCCACTGCCTTGTGCCTGGCCACTCTAGGCCTGGCCGTCGCTGTTCCAACATTCTGTCCTTTTTTTTATCTTTTTTTAAAACGCATTTATGTTGCAATGTTGGCTGGTGAGTTGAGTTCTGACTTAGTCTTTGATTTTTCAAGATCTTCTTTGTATTCTTTCTTAAGTAATTTTACTATTGTTTGCTCTCACTTGATTTCTTCACATTGAGAACTTCTTTGGTTTCTTCCTCCTTGTCCTGGGAGCTCAGCAGGTTGGCCTGTGGCACCCCTTTGTTCTCCTCGGGCTCCTGTGCTGCTTCAGCCTGTTGCCGGGACGGCGCCGCCCAGGAAGCAGCCCCCGGCCTTGGCTCCATTGCCCGAGCTCAGTGGTCAAAGGCTTAGGGGCACTCACGCCCCCAGGGGCCCCGTGGCCCGCCTCCTTGCTGGTGCCTGGTTGGCTGGAGTCCGGCAGGGGCTTCTGCTCCCCTCCGCGTTCCCCCAGCCTAGAGCTTTTTTTTTCCTTCCCGCTAGGGAAGTCCAGCATCAGAGTCAACAGACTGTCCTCTGCGCGCAGTTTACGCAAGTCCCACAGACTGTCCTCTGCGCGCAGTTTGCGCGAGTCCCGGGGGCCCGGCCTTTCGCTGCTCTCCCCGGACTCCACCTCACAGCCCCATCTCCCTCTGCCTGAGCCTGGGTCCCCAGGGATTGGCCCAGAACTGGGGTTCGGAGCAGTCCGGACTGAGGCCCAGCGCCGCCGGAGGCCTTGTTTCTTCCGGCTAGGGCAACCCAGCATCAGAGTCAACATTCAGTCCTCTGCGCGCATTGCGCGCGACTCCCGGGGCCCTGCCTTTCGCCGTTTTTCCGCCTCACGGCCCTGTCTCCTCCCGCCGGAGCCTGGGTCCCCAGGGTCTGGCCCATAACTGGGGCTCAGCGCTGCCGGTTCGGGGGGGGGGGGGGAGGGGGGGGCTCAGCGCTGCCGGTTCGGGGGTTCAGCCCAGGCTGGAGGTTTTATTTCCTTCCTGCTAGGGAAGGAAAGGCGGCTCCCCGCCCTCTCCTCCTCTCCGGCTGCGACCTCTCCGTGCGCGCGTGCGGGCGGGCAGGCGCGCACAGCATGTCTCCGTACCTTAGGCTTTTTTTCAGCTCCTCTGATTTTCTTTCTGGTTTTCTCTTTCCTTCTTGTTGTAGAAATTTCAGTCAGTCGACTACCTGTAGCTCTGTGCAATGTCCACTCTACATTTTAGTTGTATTCCATTGAAATTGTTGTGTGCTGCCGCGGCTAGATGTCTGCCCGAGCAGCCATCTTGGATCCTCTCTCTGTTAATCTGGGTTCTTTTTTAAAAGAACCAGCCAGTGTCTAAATAAATTCGATTTAAAAAAGTATTAGAAAACGACATTAATCATTACTAGACCTAATAGTTTGAATGTTAAAATTTCAGAATTTAAAGCTAATTTAATAAAAAGAATAGTCAGACCCCAAACATCACTCAATTGCAATTGAATATTTTTCAGTGGGATGGATCTGGAGCGTACAGTATTATGCTAAGTGAGGTAAGTCAGAGAAAGAAAAGAAGAATTTGTTTTCACTCATGTGGGATATAAAGCAAAAAGCAACAAAGGAACAAACAAAAAAATCCATTGACCCAGACAACAGAATGGTGGTTTCTAGAAGAAAAGAAGGTAAGGGGAGGACACGGAGGGCAAAGGAGTCAAATATATAGTGACAGAGGAGACTAGGCCAGGTGGTGAGCACACAACAGAGTACACAGATGTCATAACAAACCTGTACACTTGAAATCTATATGTTATTAAACAATGTCACTCCAATAAATTTAAAAAATTTTAAAGTTTCAAAATATTTTTCAGGCCTGTGAATAAAAACACTACTAAGTTTTTATTATTTATTTCAGAGGTTTCATACTATAAAGACTACTGTGCATAAAAACAATGCATTTTATAAAATTCTACATTATATTTACTGTATTTGAAGACTTTTTTTTACAATATTAGTTTTTGTGGAGTTTTTTGTTAATCCTCACACAAGGATATTTTTTTCCATTGATTTTAGAGAGAGAGGAAAGGAGAGGGAGAGATGGAGACAGAAACATCAATGTACTAGAGACACATCGATTGGTTGCCTCCTACACTGGCCAGGGATTGAGTCTGCAACTGAGGTATATGCAGTTATACCCTAACTGGAATAGAACCTACTAACCTTCAGTTCACAGGCTGACATTCTAACCACTGAGGTAAACTGGCTAGAGAGAGTTTTTGTTGTTGTTTTTTTTAATTGTTTTTTTTTAGTTCATGAATTCCACATAGGTACTCTTGACTTTCTTCCTTGGAATCATCCTAGCATTTCCCATGTCTATTTTTGGTTAACAGAGAACAAGATACAAAAATCTACATTTTTCATATTATTATAAAGACATTCTAAGCAGGTAATAACATAATTTCTAACAGAAATGAGCAAAATAATCATAAATTTGTTCAATTTTATATTTTAAATTATATATGTACCTAAAGATTAAATTATGACGTTTTTAGAGAATCAGAAATTATTACCTGTCCAGCCAAGGATCCACAAGCACCAGCAGCCCCACTAACAACCATTGTCTGATTAGATCCAGGAGTTATATGACCTTTTTCCTGTATCCCAAACAAGGAAGTTAAGCCAGGCATACCAATAGCTCCAAGAAAATATGAAAGATGTCCATTCACGAGTTGCGGGTCTACCTAAAATGAAATATATATCTTTTATTCGTATTTATTTATTTTGTCTAAATACACATCTTTTAAAAAGAAAACTAGGCATTCCAGTTTTAAGTCAACAAGGTAGAAACAGCCTGTTAGAGGCTGAATTGTGTCTTCCTGTGGATATTTTATATTTACAGGATGATCTGATAAATTCCTAACAGGGCAGGTCTTGGTGGGTAGCCACTCCCCAGGCACAGAAACACAGAGTTTATTCTTGTATTATTACTTTCCCCAATGGAAATAACAAATACAAAATTGAAACTATTTCTTATTTTTATTGATTTCAGAGAGGGAGGGAGAGAAAAGAAAAGGAAGGGAGAAATAGAAACATCAATGATTATAGTGAATCATTGATCTGCTGCTTCCTGCATGCCCCCTATTAGATATCAAGCTCACAAACAGGGCATGTGCCCTGACTGGGAATTGAACTGTTACCTCCAAGTTAATAGGTCAACACTCAACCACTGAGCTACACTGGCTGGGCAAAACTATTTTGATACAGTTGTTTATCACCATCCCTTCTGAACTCCTCTTCCTAATTTCTAATATCACCTATTCCCAAAACAAGTTTAAGCTTTCCCCAACTGTTCAATTTTCCACAATAAAACAATGATAGGAAAAACTTCAGATCAAACAAAACACCTGTTTCCTCCTTCCTCTGCCAAGTCTAACCTCTACCCCTAACCTCAGGTGGATGTTCTCTTTATTCAGCAAAGAAAAAATGCCACAATGACACCACACCCTCCCATGAGATTATGCTAAAGACATCCTGGACATTAGTGAAGGCTCTCTTCCTCTCTGTGGCTCACTCTTGCCTCTCTCATGAAGCCAAGAATTGGAAGCCTACAGTATGGTCCGGGAGATGGAAAAGACGGAAACACTGCTTGATCAAGGTGGTCTAGTTCAGTTAGAAAAGACCAAGCAGGAATTGAAGCAGAAGCTTCTATAGGTATATGCTCACTTTTGCTTCTGTGTCCCTCCCATGTATTTTTGGAAAGCAAAGTGCAGCAGCCATTGAATATTGGTCAGACCAAGAACCTGACTCAAACAAGGCTAAGAGAAAAACAGAACCACCAATGTAATGATATTTTCACTAGTTAAAATATGTATATAAAGTCATTTAAATATAAAATCAAAATAATGTATACACATTACATATCACCATGTAAAATACTGTACACACATGTTGATTAAAATTAGTTGTGATTTTGGAATGATATAAAATTGCAATGATTTAATGTTCATTAGATTCCTTTTCTTTTTCATTTAAAGTTGTTTATGTTCTTTTTTTTTATAGAACAATATCTAGTGAAGGCAAGTGAATAATTATAATTCCCAAGTGGAGTGGCATGGCACACCGTACCATGCATGGCCACCTGGGGAAAGGAGTGAGTTCCAGCTTCCTTCCTTCCTTTAATTAATACTTAATAAGCACCATGCTAGTCCCTGGAGATGGAGTGATAAATAAGATCTTACTAAATGGATAAATTTGAGAGAGTTTCCAATCCTAATTTACTATCTTTAAGCTTTACTTACTACTAGGAAGTAGTCTGGACATTTGGAAGAAACTGACTAACCATATGTGTTACTATTATGAAAATCTTCCTCCTATAACATTCCTTAATAACACTAGTAAATAAAAACAAAGGCAACCTGTAATTCACAAGTATCAAAATATAATTGCTCCAATGTTCATTAATCATGAGGATTGATTAATATGATTCAGGTACAGCATTAAAAAATATAAAAATAAAATTAATTTTCACCAAGTCACAAAATCCTGATTCTTACCATGTAAGGATCCACAGAAAGATAAAGAGTTCTGGCTTGTACTTGTCCTTCATTGATATGATCTGGTAAACTGATTTCTTCTACTCGGAAATTTTCTGCCACTGGATTACCATTTTTCCCTAAAATATTAGGTAAAAATATAAAATAACTCATTTTTCTATATAATTATTTACTATTCTTTAAAAGGTCACTCTAGGGTCCAGAGCACTGTCTTTTAACTTGGGCATGAATAAATCTATATTATTTTGTAATTTCTCTATAACTCAATATAAATTCTTCAAATAGTTTTACTTGCTCTTCATTTTCTCTAAGAAGATCCTTTGGAATATTGCTGTCAACTTTAAGACTTCTTTTTTGAGATGACTACACATAAATCACCTCATTTGTTTTAAAATTTAGTAAGATTTCAAAAATGAAAAATCATAGCTTCTTTAAATACTAGAGGCCTGGTGCATGACATTCGTGCACTAGGGGGGAAGAGGTGTTCCTCAGCTCAACTGTGCCTTCTCACAGGGTCCTTAGTGTGGCTGCCGAGGCGGGAGAAGGCTCCCACCACCACAGCTGCACTCACCAGCTACGAGCCAGCTTCTGGTTCCCACAGCGGGAGCGCACTGACCACCAAGGGGCAGCTCCTGTGTTGAATGTCTGCCCCCTGGTGGTCAGTGCATATCATAGCAACCGGTCGTTCTGTGGTTTGGTTGATTTGCATATTAGCCTTTTATTATATAGGATTACGAAAAGGCAATAAAACCAAGGCAGCATGAGCCCAAACCTCTCAGGTTGCTTCCATACCTGTTTCTATGACTCAGGTTAGAGATCAGCACAGACAAAGGTCAGTGCTGTTCACATCAAAAGAAAAGCAAATTTTAGGAACCAACGACACATACTATAAATAAAAAACAAAAGCCACATCGTTGTAATATAATCTTTTAAATACATTAATTCTAAAATACCTTATTTTTTCAACAAATGGCCTTGATATCACTTGAAAAACTGAATAGTACATTGTTTAAAGAATTTCTTCTAATATCTCTGCTATTATTAATATCTTCCAACCTCAATTTATCACATTAACATCATAAGGATACTCTTGTTCCTCCATTTGCATTAATAATTATCAAAGACCACAGCTTTTCATTCATCACAGATAAATACGTACCAGGTCGGGAATTCAATACCACTCTTTGTACAATCATCACCTTGTTTGCACAGGGATCTCACAAGATTTCTGTATGTAAAGCAATTCCTATTGATAGAAAACATTTTAAATCACAAGTAAGTTTGTAAACATTAAAACAATTTAAAAATAAAAAAGCACATTTGGGGGGAGAAGAAAAATCATATTTAGGATCCAAAAAAGATATTGTTCCCTGTCAGAGTTTGCCTCCTAAAACAAAGATATGAAGGACTAAGTCTAATTAGAATGTTTGTTTAATAGAAACAAATTTGTTGAAGACTGAATGGGCAGAATGTTTTTGGCCTCATAATTCAAACGCATTCATCTTCATACCCTCATTAGTAAGCCTCCCACTGCGGCCTGATTAAAAGAAAACAGCAGGATATATTCCTCCAGAGCTGGCCGGGCAATCCTGTGAGTCTTCTTGTTTCCTCCTTCCTCTGCCAAGTCTAGCATGTGGGGATTCCCCAAGACCTCTCCCTTTCTCAGGGACCTGCCTTCCTCCTGGGCTCCCACTGCCATCCCTCATCTGGAAATGACTAGAAATCTGCATCTACAGCCCAGAGCTTCACGCTGACTTCCCAGACTGGAAGCACCAGGAGGACAGGGATTTGTATCCGTTGTTCAATGATTTATGTCCAACTCCTAAGCCTGGCACAGGGCAGACACTCAAAAATGTGTTAAACGGACATCTCAGAGGCACCTTGGACACAAGCATGTCCAATCCTGAGGTTGCTTAATCCCCATAATTCTTTTTTTTTTTTTAACACCTGTTTCTGCTTCTCCAGCATTCTTTTTTTTTTTAACCAATACAAATATTTATTACCTAAATCAAAAAGGAACAAAATGAGTGAAATTCTAACGTCCATATTTGTTATTCCATTGTCTTTTTTTTTTTTCAACAAAATTGCCAAAAGTCATAAAACATTAATCTCCGGCATTTTTTATTCTAAATCCTAGGTATTGGCGCCTAGCTTTTCCCGCACCCGGAGGGACGGCCCTACCCAACTGAAGACGCCCCAGTCCCGGCGGCCGCGACGGACCCACAGACGCACCCACGGACGGCCTGCGCGGCTCCCTCACCGCCGCCGCGCCCCGAGCTCCGCAGGAAATATCGCGCGGTTTGCGTCGCGGGCGGGGGCTCACTGCGCGACTTCATCCCTCTGGCCGCAGTGCGCAGGCGCACGACTGGACCTTTGCTCCAGTTCCTCCGGGGACCGTGAGAGGCGGGGCGGGGCAGAGCCAGGACAGTCACGCGTCTGGGCAAAGTGTTTTAATAAGTTAGCTCGACTGGCCGCTCCTACTGCTTGTTCACAAAGAGCAAATCATGAGTTCGCTTACTCGTTTTGTGGATTTCTCCGGAGCCTTGGCTGGCACATTGCACTGAGAGAAGGGCCGTCAAGCCTACCCCTCCCGGTGTGGATGGAGAAGCAGATTCCGAGGCCTGATGTGATTGGGCCACCCACCTTCCAGCTGGTTGCGGGGCAGTGCGGGGATTAAAGCCGGCTCTGTAAGACTGCGGGCCCGGGGCCCTTTCCCAATGCGTTAAAAGCGAGGCTGCCTTTTCTTTCACAGAACATCCCAAATTCCTCAAAGGTGGATTACCCAGCTTGGGAGATTTTTTCACTTTCATTAATTATTAATTGTTTCCTTTTGTGCGCACGTGGGTTGAGCAAGGCTTATTCCTAGGACAGCTTTGGAACCCCTGGGAACCTAAGACAGACCACCTTGATGAGGCAGGTGTAAAGGACTGCTTTTTACATTGCATTCCTGTCCCACCTTGATGAGGCAGGTGTAAAGGACTGCTTTTTACATTGCATTCCTGTCCCAGCTAATAGTGCAGCCCAGATTGTGGTGTTCAGTAGCTGAAAAAATAACTGGAATGGTGAGCAAGGGGGTAAGAATTATTAAACAAGTTGAAGCTCCTAGTAGCTTCACCTCTGAAATTTTTACTTCCTTGAGAAAATTTCAGGAAAGAAGTAGGATTATACTACTTTGCAAGTTCCTATAGGCCAGAGCCTATTTCTTTTATCAGTCTTGTACAAGTAGATCTTCAATAATCTTTCGTTGAAATAACTGGAGCCAACTGATGAAAAAGAAAATACTCAGACTAAAAGTAATAGAATAAAATAAAGGTAGTCTAAAATTTTGTTTCAGAACTTGATCTTAAAAGAAACAATATTTTAAAGTAGAACAGAACCTGCAATATTAAATTGTTTTTGATTCTTGATTCTAGGGCCTGAAAACTTGTATCAAGCGTGATTTTTCTTCCCAGAATGAATTCCCAAAAAAAAAAAAAAAGCCAAGAAATTAGCATCATATTTGTGACCTCAAGAGAGAAAACTTATCCAGAACTACCTAGCTAACATCTCTCGAATTCCTGAACCTCAGAAGGAACTGTGCAAGATAATAATTTATTGTTTTAAGCTGCTAAATTTGGGGGTAGCTGATTATGCAGTAATAAATAACTAATACGCTCACTAAAGAAGAATTAGGGCTCTTTGGAGAAATACTCTGATTCCAGATGAGCCTGGAACATCTTTTTTTTCTGGAAGTTAAGGAAGTTTAAAAAAAAAATGATGAGGCATATCACAGGGACACAGAAGCCAGCTTGAAGAGGATCCTACTAGCTAACTCTGGGACAACTTGAACACCAAAATCATTATGATAATGATTTATAAACATTTTAAAAATAGAAATCCATTAATCTATACCAATAACAAGCAGTTAGAATGGAGGGTTTTTGCTTACAGTTGAACAACATGGGTTTGAGCTGTGTAGGTCAATTGAAAAAAATATGCCTTTGAGTGGGCCACCTCAGTCCAAACCCTCATTGCTCAAGGTTCAACTATATATTCAAGTGCCATGCTCTCCGTGTGTACCCTAACACCTTCTTTGTTAAAGAAGAAAAGAAATCGGTTTGAATTTCCTCTTAAACTGGATTTAACCAAGAGTACAAGGACTTTTAGGCCAGAAAAAAAACATCTTGTTTTGTGATAAATGTTAACACATTGCACACCAGTAGTTTTATTGCTAGCTTTACCCAGTGGCCAGAAAAGTTTCTATTGAATGAGTACAAAAAACGTTTTACAAAGTATCATACTTTAAAAAGATATTCGTTTGTAAGAACATGTAATAAATAACTTCAAAATGCAATGGGTATTTAATTTTAAGGCGTGCTTTTAACATTTATGTAAAACACTATGTAATATGAAAACACTAGGTGCCCAGTGCATGAATTCATGCACCTTGAAAAGAACTGGGCCTCAAGGCTGCAGTGGGCACAGGAGTGGGTCTCAGCCCCCTGTCTGCTGGCAGCCCTGCTCCCACTGCCGCTCTCACACGCTGACAGCATCAGCCCCACTCTTACCCACGGCCAAAGCAATTGGGGCTGGCGCCATCAGCGGGTGCAAGAAGCGGGTGCGAGAAGCGGCTGCCAGCCCCGATCACCCCTCAGGAGTAGGGGGAGATGGAGAATCCTAGAGGGGCAATCTGGGCTGGCAGCCGCTGCTCGCACACACTAATGGTGGGGCTGGCACTGGGTGCCAGCAGCAGGTGTGAGGAGGGCTAGTGCCAACAGCAAGTGCGAGCACCAAGCAGGACCTCGATGTGCAAGAGCAAAGAATTTTCAGTAACCACCAGAGACGCGCCCTGATAACAGTGACTGGCACCCCACCTTGGTCTGGCGCCCCCACTCACTTGCTCCACCATCCCACTGCAGTTAACACCCGCCATGTTCTGTGCTCTGCTGCCTGCTGTCAATGCCTGCCATGTTCTGCAAGCGCCCCTGGTGGTCAGTGCACATCATAGCAACCAGTTTTCAGTTGTTCCGCTGTTAGGTCTATTTGCATATTAGGGTTTTATATATATACATGAGACTGCTCGTGATCCACCCACACTGTGTTAAGTGTGCTCAAACACCTTAAACTGCCGAAACCGGTTTGGCTCAGCGGTAGAGCATCGGTCTGCGGACTGAAAGGTCCCGGATTCAATTCTGATCAAGGGCATGTACACTGGTTGCGGGCATATCCCCGGTGGGGCATGTGCAAGAGGCAGCTGGTCGATGTTTCTCTCTCATCGACGTTTCTAGCTCTCTATCTCTCCCTTCCTCTCTGTAAATCAATGAAATATATTTAAAAAAAAAAAAAAACACACCTTAAACTGGTCTTTTCCTCCACCATTGATAGATCTGTGTATGCTTAAGGAAACACATGCAAAATTCAGGCTGTCTTCAGGTATGCTTCAAGTTTTATTTTCTACAAGGGCCTTTGTAAAATATATATAATTGATTTCAGAGAGAAAGAGAGAGGTAGAGAGAGAGAAGTATCAAAGATGAGAGAGAATTATTTATCAGCTGACTCCTACATGCCCCCCACTGGGGATTGAGCCCACAACCTGGGCATGTGGCCTGACTAGGAATCAAATTGTGACCTCCTGGTTCATAGGTCGACACTCAACCACTGAACCACACTGGCTAGGCTACAAGAGCCTTTTTTAATTTACTATGCAAATAAGTTCAATGCAATCCCAGGATCAGCATGTGTGACTAACTTGGGCCCTCTTTGGTCTCCACCTTACATGCGTGCAGCCTCAGCCAGGAATATGCTTCCCCAATCACAACTTCAGCCACAGGCTAGGAGAGCCCAGCTGTGGGCCTCCTCAAGCTCACCTGTCTGGAAGATGTCACCTCCACTGACAGTTCCTCTGGATGTGGGAATTGCCCACTGCTCCACATAGTGTGCCCCCTTTCAACCACAGCAGAAAAACTTTCTGTATTTATACAATATCTCATGTTTGAAGAAAAAAAACAAAGCGTTAAATGCCAACTATATTATTTTAAGGAGGACAAAAGAGTTATATTTCAAAGGAAAGGATCAGGTTGTCTTTGGAAGCACACAAGCATCTATGAAGAACTGAGATTTTCATTCCATTCCATGGTCTTATCTAAGGAACTCAGAGACTTTGTATGATTAATGTAATCTTTAAAAAAAAAAACACACATTTATTTTTCTTAAGCTT